GATGTATTTGCTTTTCTAACACTAGACTGTGGGAATAAGTTGAATCACACACTTCTAGAAACTGTTTATCATGAGTCATATTTCGTAAGTCTTTCTGAGTTTTATTTCAGCTGCGTCATTGCTAAACTGCAATTAATTCCTGAACTTGTGCTCGTTTACAGAGCTGCACAATGAACTGACTAACAAGCACATGAAGAAAGCATCTTGTGGCTGAGCTACTTTGATCATATTCTTAAAACAATATTCCCTCTAGACTGAGTATGGCCACATATCCACAGAGATAAACCCTCCTTTATCATTTGTTATTACTTTGGTCTGAATCTGCAGTGAAAGGCTGCCTGAACTGTCACCTTCCAGCCTGTTTGTCTCGTTCCACCAGTTTTCACACACATTGGAGGTGACACTGACGTCGCGTTTGAAGTGCAGGGTTCAAAGTCACTGTGTTTTTGCATTTGTCCAGTTGGGCAACTGGGTAACTGGGTCAGAAATCTACTTGCCCCTATACAGGGATAACAGAGATAACAAGAAAGTGAGATGGCTCAGTCCTTAGATACTTCCATCATCTGCTCTGGAAAAAAAAGTATTCTTTTATACCACTTGCTACATGGGGCACAAAGTTGCTGGATTTACACACTACACAAACTTGAAGAGTTTAACAATGTCGGCACACAGTTTGACATCTTCGTCCATTCTGGCTAACTAACCGGGAAACGCAGCCATACAGTGGACCAGCGGCGCTACATCAGATTAGCCAATGACAATGTTCTGGGTAAAACAATGTTCTGGGTAAAACACACACTGCACACACACTCTTTCTGTTCCATAAATGTGAATACATGCGTGTATATATTTACAAAACACAGTTGGTAACACCACACTGGCAGACTGAACTGCGACTCCATGGACCATGGACAGTTGTGTTTCAGAACCATTACACCCTCAATCCAGACTATTTCATTCAGTGCATCCACAAACTTTTCATGTGATCTACCTTGGGATAAATCCACCACAGAGCCGTTTGAGGAGCAGAGGGGCTCTCCACAAAGCCGGATTAGCAAATTAGTCACATAATTTAAGGAAGCTTATCAAATATTTTCTAAAAAAAAAAACTCACCTTACATAACTGTAACTTATTATCACATATTTGGTTCTCAGGTGTAAATCTGTATCACAAGATTTTGCTTTACTGTCGTCACTTATGTCACAGATATCTGTCTAACTTTCTAATCCTACTTTGTAAAATAACCCCCCCGGACAACCCTCCATCTGTGTGTTTGTGTGGAAAAGGAGAAGAAGGCTGATCACAGATGGTGCTCTTTAACTGAGGTCAGCTCTAGTCACAAAAACAGTTGCGTTGCACTTCATTTTACTGGTAACACCTTTGTAACTTTAAAGTCCTGTGATAATAAAATATTGAATTTATACTTTTTGTTGGATACCTCGCTTTGACAAAAATGCTTTTTTCTACAAAAACCTTTATTTTCATTGAACAAAAGTGGCCATGTTAAACACAAATCACCCTTGTGTTTCACCCTTCATGAAGCTGCTTCTTGCAGATGCCCCTGCAGATGCCGTTCAGCCTCCTCTTGTTTAACAGACAATAAGACCTATAAGTCAGGCAGTCAAACACTATTTTAACTGGTCAACCTGAAGACTGCAGGGCTTCACGTACTGAACATTTAGTGAAATGCTGCTCTTAACAAAGGCTAACTGTTCAAGCTCAATGATGGATCGATAACGTCACAGGTCGTCTGTGAACGTGTTGTTTTATGTTGTTTTAGTGTTCAGTTTGCTGCTGAACTTTGCTTTAGCATGTTGTGCAGCTCAGTGTCTACTGCCTCAGGCTGGGGGATTGTGGACTATACACTGGTACCAGTGGAGGCCGAACTATGTTTGAGAGAAACTGTGTGAACATTTTTTTGTTTTTTCAACTTTAAGCCTCCATAATCCCACCAGCCAAAATAACATTAAATCTTATCTATGTGAAGGTTGGATTGCCAGGAACGGTTTTTGCGATGGTACCTAATATAATTGCTTGTCTGCGTCGCTTTAGTAGTCTGCGTTATACTTTGTTGTTTTTGTTCAGAATGACTCTATTTTGCTCCACGATCCTTGCCGGTATGCATGTGTGTTGTTGCTGCATGTAAATTTACTTGATAGACGTGCCCTGAAGGTAATGATATTGCTACATGTGAAAAAGCAATGGTTAAACTGCAGGAATTCATTGTCTTGGCAATGTTTTGGAACTTTAATTAGCACCCAGCAGCAGCTACCTAGTATAGTGCACTCAACCGATCACAACAATGGTCGGTTTAGTCAACCTAGAAATAATAGAATTTGTACCATTGGTAGGAAGAATTTCAGTAGACCGAGATTTTCTTTGGTTGTCTACATCCCTACTATTTAATGCCCATCACAGTTTCCCAGAGCACAAAGTGATGTCTTCAAATGATTTATGTTGTCCAAAGATATCCCGTTTATAATGATATAAAACAAAATGTGACAAGCAGCAAATCCTCACACTGCAGAAGCTGCTGACTGTTTTTTAACCATTATACATATTATTATTATTATTATTTTTTCCCACTTACAATTAATCCGCCCATTATTTTCTCAATCAATGGTTTAGTCTATAAAATGTCAGAAAATAGTGGAATATAACAATCAGTTTCCTAACTCCCAAAACAAACCAGCGAATAATCACTTTAAAAATGTGCCAGAACCAATTAATTCAGCCATTTTTGCTTCAACAAATCACTTTAACAATTAACCAGTTGCATTTGTGATCACCTTCATATAAACATATACACCGGTACTCAGAAATACTGATAAATATAATACATAGTTACTTGTGTAAACAAATATTATAACAGAAACATAAAATATTAACAAGATGTAGTTATTGGTGTGTGGATAATATTTTACATTACTACAGTGTTAATTATTCATGTTGGTAGTCTGTGTCTAGCTCTGCTCCCAGTATTTAAGACCCTGTCGATCTAATTGCATTAGCAGAGAGACAGCAGAGGTTCTGACGCACTGACTGGACTTCTGAACTAAAGTTTAACAGTAAAGACGTGAAGGGGTCTGAAGGGGTCTGAAGGGGCGCAGATTTCGTTGCAACCCCGGGGCCCCCGGTTTGAACGCCACACTAGTCTCAAAGCAGGTTCCTACTGCTTCTTATCAACTCAGAGAGACAGACTGGAAGGAGGGAACATGAAACACGTTTTTAAGACGTGCGGGTGACTGCGCCTGCACCTCGTTTGCACCTGCAGGTGGTAAACAAACTGGAAACTTACGGCGCATTTCCTGCCCAGGTAGCCGAATAGGCACTCGTTCTCCTGCGGGGTCAGGAGGATGGAGCCGACGTTAACAGACCTGCGGGGCGGCGGGTGGCTGTTCATGGCTCCGTATTCTTCTAGTTTACCCCGAAACGATGCAGTTATCCCTGGACGGACTCAGCAAACACTACTAATTACAGAAAATCCATGCGGGCTCCGGTTGCTGTGGCCTGCAACCGGATCATCTCCGCTGAGTCCGACTCCCGGCTGGAGGGCGGAGGAGGACGGGGGTGTTTTCCAGGCTTGCTTCTGCTCAAGAAAGAACCGTAACTTCTCCGTTTAGTGTTAAATACAGAAATTAAGAGCTCGCAGTGTGTTTAAACTCGGATAAATGCTCAACTTTCATTCGGAAACTCCTGCAGCTGCAGCGGCGATGCGTACATCCAACATGGCAGCAAGACAGAGCAGACCACTTTAAAGAGAGAGGAGAGGGGGGTGTCGGTTTGGGTAAACTCGCTAACTACCCACTGTAATATGGATAACACGGTGGCGTTGGCGCGCACACCGAAAGATATGAGCCAGTATTAACTTTGAGGTAAAATTGTGTGACATGTATAATTTGGGTCCATTGTGAAGCTGAACTGTCATTGGTGAGACCAAATGGTTCAGTCCGATGTGGCAGCAGGAATGCAGCTCTGCGGAGGGAAAGGGAGGGAGTGTGACGTAGCGCGGGGAGGAGCCAGAGGGTGGACACGCGAATGTAAATAAGGTAGCTTTCGTCATAAATAATTTATAAAATGTTTAATATTTTGGGTGTGAGGCCTTGTGTGGGGAAAATAATCCAATATTCTGCGTTTGCACCCCATAAATAATAATAACGATGCTACATTTCTCCAGAAAAAGAAAGTATATTATAACATGACATGTATCGTATGAAATACATACAAAAAAGAAAGGTGCTGCAGTCAAGTGTAAGCAAAATAATGTGTTTTTTGAGCAATAAAGCATGTCTCCAAATACAAGAAAGAAACCGAAAATGACCATAAAATGAGCCCTCTTTACGTTGTGTAGTAGTGTAACAGACATTTTTCTGTTTGCCTTCTGTTTGTTTCTGCATTTGAGGTGCCCTGTCCCCTCTGGGTTGTCCTCAGGCAGATTTTGTTGGCTGAATTCTGCTTTTAGCACACGCTACTGTCAGTCCTATATGCTTTAATACTGCTGCATCCATCACTTTGGTTCTGAGCAAGATCAACAACTTATAGCCAGATCAAAAGCTTTTTGAACATTCCTGCCCGTTCTACGAAAGCACTTCTCTCCCTAAATTATATCCCCATTAGTTCATACTTTTGAGCAATTCCTTATGTTATGTCCCACCCCAACTTGGACCTACAAGACATGTAGTCATCTCTGCATTAAAGAAGCAACAAGCCATGACAAACTAACTGTATTTAACTCTGTAGGTAAAAGTTTGTCATCCCCTTTATCAAAGCAAATAAAATCAGAAGGAGGGCTGTGAATGGGGCGGTGGCGGATCTACATATGCCGGCGGAGGTTGGCGTCTCGTAGGTCCTGCTTGCCTTCTGTCGGTTTAGAGCCAGTAGCATTAAGACCAAAACTAATCTGCTGACCAGCTGCTTCTACTCTCTGCTGTATAAAACACTGAGCAGAGGCCAAATAAGAGGAGTTAAAGGACCATTCACAACTATCACAGAACACGCATTGTAACAAGAGTGACATCCTGCTAGTGTTCCATAGAGGCTGTGTGTGTCTGCAGATACAGTCTGAGAGTGTTGGACAGCAACAACATCCTGGTGATTTATCTATTCTTAGAGCCTTACCAGTAGTGAAGATAAGAATGTACAGATTGTCTCGAGAGTGACTCTTAACAGGAAAGGTCAATGGGTCCTTAAAAATGTAAAGAATTCATCGCCTGGAGAGCAGGAATAATATCAGGACTTGTCATTTTAGCCATGTTAGCAGCATGGTTCTATGGATGGTAAAGTCAGTCGGTCGGTCCATTACTTTCTCCAGAATTAAAGGGGAACTTGGCAACTTTTTCAGCTTAATAAACCCGTTTAGAAATCATTTGGATGGTTAAATGGCTTGTTCCGGTGAAAATGGTGACCTCCCCACCCCCCTCAGGCGACCCCAGGCGGAAAACCAACCTTGCAACT